AATTCGTTGCAAGAACTGGAATGGCTGGATTTTCAGAGGCAGCCACGACAGAGGCATCTGTAAATTTTGTGATTTGGTGGGTGACAGATTGGTACTTCCAGTTCCCTAGTAGTTCTTTCTTTCTTTTCTTTTTTTTCCTTTTGTTAGGGATTCCTTACGGCTTCAGTTTTCCCCCTTTTATATATCTGTTGGATGTAGAAGGGGACAGGGAAATTTTTGTTTCCAGAAAGAGGATTTAAGGCTGTAGCAAGCAGTGAATAATGAAGATCATGTACAGATACACTTCGATCCAGAGAATGGGTGGATTATAATTTAATTCAGCATCTTCATTCCTGTGGGCCCCTGCTCACTGCTTCTCCATCTCTTTTGCGCTGTTGGCTTCTTCCTTTCCCAGTATTTATTGGCCCTTGCCATAGCTTTTTGCAGGCTGCTGAGAGAGAGGCTTGCGACTCTGCTTGACCTGAGTGACTTGAGGCTGTGATGTTTTACAGAGAGAGTATTGGAAGTGGGGAAAAGTGATAGGAGGGGGAGGGGCATGAAAAGCAGAGAAAGAAAAGCACAACACAACAGATGTTTAGATTGGAATGCTGATCTTATCAATCCTTTTCATTCGTATAATGCCCAAACTTCGAATCTCTTTATCGACATCCACTGCTAATTCAACTGTTTTTTGTCATTGTTTCGCAAAGATTATTGGATCTACCCCACACCCACACAGATGTGGCTCGAGTCAGAGGATGGTGGTCCTCGGCTGGATAAACCTCTCGAGTGACGCACTAGATCTTGTAACCTGATTTTTTTAAAAAGAAAATCCTAACCTGATTTGGTATTACAACCAAAGCTTCCTTGTCTGATGGTTAGTTCATTTTTCAATAATTGTGCCGTTAGTTAGTTCATTTTTATACTCTCCTCCCCCTTTTATATACGGAATAATTAACTATTTGCCACTCTTACGAGTGTGCCACTCTTACGAGGGTGTTAAATTATTTGCCACTCGAACCACATGTATAGACACATGAGAGCTCACATATCATAGATAGCTAGTGGCAAATAATTAATTACCACATCTTAAAAGTGGCAAGGAGTTAAATGTCCCTTTATATACCGTTGAGTCAAACAAATAAAACCAGAGGGAGTATCTTACAATAATTATGTAATGCTTACAATTTTCTTGTGGCACACTTTCTTAGAGCTCCTTTGGAACAAAAAGTAAATAGGAGGAATTTTGAAGGATTGAAATCCATAGGGAAAAAAATTGGAGCAAAGAAATGGCTGCTCTAAAATCCTTTCAAATTTCTATGGAATAGCTCATTTCAATTCTAGAAGGAAACTAATATTAGGCTAGACCTCATGTTTTCTCTTCCTTTGATTTTCCTATGATGCTACTAAACAATAGTTTTTACAAAATCCGATGGATTTATTTCCCGTAGGATTCGTTGTAACATGATATCCTATTTGTATGATTTTCTAGTCCTGGTTTTTAAAATCCTATGTTCTAAAATCACCGCTCTCTTCCTGTTTCGTTAAATTAATTTATAAGTGCCATAGTCCTCGGCTACTCGCCCAAAAAGTAGCCAATAAAACAGAAAGAATATGCAGGAGACTAGGAGGGCACTCCTCTTTGCCCAGTACTAGTATTTTTTTAATCATCGCCTTACAAACATTGTTCCGGTTAAAATGCATCTCTACCTGTTCATGAGACTGACTGGACGAGTAGTATGTGATACTCCTGAGTACAGTAATTTCCTCCCCTGAGTCGACATTGGGGGTTGTGAAAGCCTATCCAAGGATGACACGTGGATGAGAATTGCGGCTTGCCCTAAGGTGCAAGCAAGGAACGGGGGTATTTGGGAGAGAGGGGCTAAAGTACCCCCTCAGTCTCATGAACGCTTCCTCTAAGGTGCAAGCAAGGAACGGGGGTATTTGGGAGAGAGGGGCTAAAGTACCCCCTCAGTCTCATGAACGCTTCCTCTAAGGTGCAAGCAAGGAACGGGAGTATTTGGGAGAGAGGGGCTAAAGTACCCCCTCAGTCTCATGAACGCTTCCTCTTGTAGCCTGAAGCTCGTACAAACAATCAAAAATGAAACAATATTCCCATTATTTGTCATCTACCGATTATAAGATGTAATGGCTTATCAGTGACAAAGAAAAAGTAATATGTAGATAACATTTTTATATCGGTATTCTTACCTATTTAAAAACCAATATTAAAAATAAACTATGACGAAAACCCCTACAATTAATTAGCTCTAAATTTAAAAAGTAAAGTTAATTTTTTTGCAATGGCTTATAATCTAAAATGAAAACAATGTTGTTGTTTGTTAATACTTGACAGCAAGAGTATATCCCTTTTTTTTATATAAAAAAGAGTATATCATATGTTCGTCGACCCTCATATATATGGAAGAGAACACGGTAGGATCATGCAATCCTTTCATGCCCCTATGAAACACAATATTGGAAAGACGTAGGAATAAGAGAAACGTAGGGTTTTGACTAGAATAAAAATGTAAAATAGAAAATTACAAAACACATGAATGCCACACAAATTTTGCAAAATTTGTGATATGTCATCCTAACCCACATGTCATTGACTCATGTGGGTCTTACATGTCATTGAGATACGGGTGGCATATCTTAAATTTTGCAAAATTAGGGTGGCATGGTTCCAACAAACCCTTGATTGAACCACAAAACAAACGTAGGAATTAGATGAGAGATAAAAAACTCAAAGAAAATGTTTCATAAGGTTCTACCTTTTGTTAAATTTCTCCAAAACTTATATGGTAAGAGACATTATATTCCATAGGATTCATTTGTGTCCATCGGAGTAATTAAAGATGAGAGCGAAGTGCTCGCACCACAGCGCTTCGAGCCTTTTTCGCTGGCGTGTTCACTTCTGGTGATGTCCACATCATCCGGTGTTGGAGCTGGTAATTTTGCAAAAAAAATTTCGTTTAACTTGATAATCTTTCTTAAGTCACTCAATGTAAGTTCACTGTCTTATGTGCTCTTACGTAAAGCCCTCTATATCCTGATATATCTTATGTGAAGGAGACAAAAATTTCGAGTATAGGACCGCGCTCTAAATTCCTTTGATTCAAAGAGCTATCTAGAAAAAAAAACCCATATGAATAAAATTCTACAAAATTTTTACATTTTTTCTTTCAATCAAGGGGCCTCAATATTTCAATGACAAAGGTTTCTCGGTCCCTCCCGCCGTGCATTAGCTTCAGCAGCGAGGTCAGGGAGAGCAATGCCGCACATGCTCCAACCACGTTGATCAAGCTGACAGGAATTCTACCAGGTCAGGTCATCTGTGATGATTACTCCACCCGCTCCATGCATCCATCTGTCATCGTTAACTCTGCAGTCTGCACCGACCAGTATCTGGTCTCCTCTACAGCTCTAGTGCCACCAATCGGCCTCCCCGATAAGCTTTGATTTGAAAAAGGAAAAAAAAAAAGGGCTTTATCAAAATTTTGGTACGATTTCTTATGCATTGACCAAATTATGTAACAAACTAAATGTTGATTTTTTTTGACAACTTTACCAAAAATTAGTATGGTTGAAAATGACATCAAAGTAAACAGACCCGAATTTAGAGTTTTCCAAACCGATGGATGCAGTGGCCAACCAACTGTAAAGACTATAAAAGCTTCTTTGGAATGTAGGATTTTTAAATCATAGAAATATAAAAAAATATAGCATTTCTATAAAATACTTTGGATGAAAAAACATAACAAAATTGCAGGAATGGCTGTTTAGATAAAATGCGAGAAAAAAAAAACAGAAATCAAAACAGATAGTCATAAAGGAATCTTTTCAAGAGGTTGACCTAATGTTGAAAATCCTTTAAAATTCCTATAATTTAAGATAACCCTAAGGAATTTCAAAAGAACTTGATAACACCATTTCAGAGGTTGATCACATAGGCATTCTATCTTTCAAAATTCCTATAAGATTCCTTTGTGTTTAAAGGAGCCTTAAATATGTTTGACTTAATTTCTAACAAAAACCAGGTCAATCGATATGCTTGCATTACAAATGGAAATCTCTCTTCAACCACTAGTAGTGACAGAGTGTGAAGGAACTTGAAGCATACTTAAAGACGACAAACACTAAGGACCTTTTGATTTATACAAAAATATAGGAATTTTGAAAGATTTTAATCCTATGAAAACCTTTCAAACAAATTCCTATCCTTTAAAATTCCTATGGGATGAGTAACTCATTTGAGTCTACCTCTTATTTGATTCCTTTTCTTTTTTTTTGGTGCACTCAAACGGTCATTTTTGTGTTTTTTCTGAGTTTTACAATCATCCGTTTTACACATAAACATATATTAGGATTCTATGTTTTACCTATTTTTTTGTTTTTTTTATTTCTACTATTTAAAGGGAACCTAAACGACACGAAGACATAATAATACTACAGATGATGCTAGTAATACAATGTAATTAAGTACACGATTGATGGCTGAATTTGGACATTGGGCAAGTCTCTCCAAATACAACTATGAACATTGCCAAACCTATCCTACGAGTACTCGCACTGTAGTACTACTACGCAGCACAGGTCAGCCGGTGTTTAGATGTAGAGGTGTAAAGTTTTGGCGTGTCACATCGGATATACATAAACATAGTCTAATAATAAAAATAAATTATAGAATCCGCCTATAAACCGCGAGACGAATTTATTAAGCCTAATTAATCCATCATTAATAAATGTTTATTGTAGCACCACTTTATCAAATCATGGCGCAATTAGGCTTAAAAGATTCGTCTCGCAATTTACACGCAATAGTTATATTTTTCGTCTATATTTAATACTTTATACATGTGTCTAAATATTTAATGTGATAGGGTGTAAAATTTTATTAGGGATCCAGATTAAAAAGCCCACGTCATGAGGATTCAACCCTTTCCGTGACCGTACGGCACTACTACCACGTATTGTCTCGTCTCCTCTCTGCCCCGCCGCCCTACGCGCTATCTCCTCCTACCTTTATGCGTTCGCCATTGCCAATGCCTTTGCACTGTTCCATAGACGACTTGCACTTGTTTTTTTGTTGCCGCTCACTGCTACTACCTCTCCCCATGTTCCCGTAGTGGCGTCCGTTCCTGAACAAACAGACGATTCTCCCTGCACTGGTATCTACTCGAATCCTTGTTTTTATTTTTCTATCTGCACAAGATTTGATGCTACATCACATATATACTAGTATAGTACTACTCTGCTGCGCCGTAGGTACAGGATTATACTTGCGCTATATATTTCTATCTGCTCCTATCTTGGTAGTGTGGCAGCAGCAGTTTGATCTCGTATCTGATTTAGGTGTGTCTCTGCATGCAGGGATCGCAAAGGCAGATCTTTGCAAATCCCAGGCCATACCGGCGAAAATGTTTCTGGCCTTGGACTGTAGAGATCAGTGGAGAGCGGCGTAGCGGATTCTGGGATTCGGCGACATCTTTTCTGGTCGTGGTCATCGTCGTTGAGGATTTCTTTTGGTGCGAATTTTGGTGAGCGCTAGGCACTGTAGCAGCGTGCCTTTTGCACGCGCCTCCGTGTAGCTAGAGGAGGAGGAGGAGGAGGCCGGGGGATATGCTGGTGGATTCCCTGCGCCGCGGCCGCTTGTGCCGCCCTTGTTGAGAGCTCTCGCGGCGGGCACCACGTGAGGCTGCGTCGGCGGGAGTGCGGAGCGAGACGCCCCCGTGAGCCGTGAGCGCTGCCGCCGTGACTGTTGTTAATGTCATCTGTCTCTACGACCCCGTTTGGGGGAGTTTGTTCTATCTGCAGCTTTTTCTAAAAGCTACTTCTACTAGAAGCTACCATAAACAGTTCACAGCTTCTGAGAATCTGTAGTTACAGATTCTGAAAAATGAACTAAGAAAACAGAAGCTGGAGAAACTGGGTTTCAGAGCTTTTCCAAATTCTTAGAAGCTAGCTACCAAACAGCTGCTTCTCAGAATCTAAAGCTCCCCCAAACAGACCCTACGACTCTACGGGACCGGTCCAACGAATTTCTCGGATTAAGATCCTCTATCTTAAATCAAGTGATTTTAGAGCCACTGATATGTGGGTCCATAACAAAAAGTGCTCACATGTTAGTGACTGAAAGTCATATGACTTAAGTCAGATGATCGTAATCTGAAATTCTTATGTTGCAAAACAGCTCCCACCGAAGATGCAATCAATGTTTTATTCTGAACTTCGGTAGACTGATGGAACGTGAATACTCTACATGATTGTAAGGATGCGTGTAGCTCACGTCAAAATTAAAAGTCTGATTGAAATTGAAACGATGTGACGGAAAAATTGGAATTTTGTGTGTATGAAAGATTTGATGTGATGAAAAAGTTGAAAGTTTGAAGAAAAAGTTAGGAACTAAACCAGGCCTAAGATTTAGATTAAGTTAGTTTACTAGAGCAATGGAAAAATAATGTAACGTTCCAAGAGGTCTTCAGGTTATAAATCTTTAAGCTGTTACACTGTATTATTTTTGCAAGGGCGGAGCCGTGTGAGACAACTTGAGCCTCACGCGTGACAGAAAAAAGCACAAAGCACAGAGGGATTTGCTGTTTTTTTTTTAAAAAAATGGTTTTAAGAAGTTTACACTGTATAGTAATTCAACATTTCAGCCCTACTCTTGGCACTGAAAACGATAAACGACCTAAACTTTCAAGGGAACATTCTCTTGTTGTTTATATGTCAATCAAATGGTTATATTTTTTAAAAAGATCACTCCACAAACATGCAATGTCAAATTCAACTTCTAACTATTGCAATAAAAAAACAAAGAGTAAATTACAGTGCCTGCACATGAACTTGTTCATGAACTTATAAATAGTTCGTTTCAATACACAAAATCTAAGTATGTGCAAACCATGGCAAAAAAATGTATAACTATTTTTTTCTAAGTTGCACTCTGAGTAGGATATTGTGCATATGCTCAATCAGTAAAATGACACTGGTTCATGTTTTTGGCTGTTGGCTCCAATTCTTCTTCGAATATTAGCCCTTCATTTCATTCATGGCTGCCTGCATATGGTAATGCTACTTACTTCTGAACTTTTTTCTTCTATCAATTGAAATAGTAGAGCCATTGCTTGTTTTAAAGAAAAACATATACTCAATCAAACATAGGATAAGTTATGTTGAGTGTACAGATAAGAAGTATATAAAATATAAAAGGAAGATGCAATGTATAAAAAATAATGGATAAAACAAAATAAATAAAAAATAAGTACATGTAAATGTTATTTACACATAAAACATCTCTTGTGTCTTACTTATGCACATGACATCCTAATCAAACTCTATATTATCATGATTAGTCACAATATATTGTTTTAGACTTGATTCGTACGCACTAGACAAGTTCATATATCATAATAAGTATTTTACAAGTTTGTATACTAAATTGCACCAACGTAATAAATTTGTGTACCACCAACGCAATTTACTCAAAAACAAATTTGATTATGGATATACGTTAACTAGTTATAGTTTTCTTTTAACTTGTAGAAGGTAGATCTCAACTTGCACTTACACATTTGTGTAGTGAATATCACATATTAATACATCTTCTTTTTTTGTTTTTACAGAACTATTTAGATAATATGTAAACAATGAGTAAAGGTTCTCTCGAAAATGTAAAGAAAATTGCTATGCATACAACCCTACTGTCCAACTCACGTACGATTGAATTTGATCAAAGGTTTTGTAAACAGCAGCAATGCATATGAACATATTCTTCTTCTATTGATTTATGGTTGCATGTATCTAATTATATATATGAGTTGTATATATAATTAGGTCGTGTGTATAGCAGTACTCAAAATTAAAATCCACTCCCACTAAAAAATCGTATTTGTACTCACATGTCCATGCAATGCAAGTAGCATTGCAGCCGGCACGGGCGGCTTGCACAGATATCCGAACAAGAAAAATGGAGTACACGTCTTCTTCCCAAGGTTATCAGGATCGGGATACACAGTATCATTTTACTCAAAGTAATATAGTATCATAGTATCGAGATACTATGCGATTTTCTTTTTTTAAGATTAATTTATATTTATATTAATTATATACCTATTGTATATAAAAAAATGTAGTAATGACATATGTCATGTCAATAGAGACATTTATCAAGTGAAATCATGTTGGTTTTGATATATTTAACTGATTTTTATATAAATTTGAGCATATTTATTTACATTATTTTCAAACCATATTATTTTAAATAATATTTTATAGTATCGTAGGGATCATATAATCGGGATACCACCTAAAATCTCATAGGATCGTGTAGTAATGAATAGTAGTATCGAGATACTATGAAAATTAGGATATTAGGTTGGGATCCATATCGTTTTGGTTTGGTAGGATCGTAGTATCGTAAGATACTATGATACGAATCGGGAATACTGATAACTTGCTTCTTCCCCTTCCGGTTAATTTTTCCAGACCGATACATGCATGAGCAACCATGCATGCATGCATAGCAGGCATAGCAGGCAGCAGGCCGGCAGTGGCTCACGTGAAGCTTTTACGTACATGGGAGTACATGCTTCCTGTGATATCGCTGCAATGGCCATGCCATCGGATGCATATATGATATATGTACAAGTGTCCATTGCACGAGCTTCTCGCGTACGACTGAAACTAGTACCTACACATGTGCACACGGTACAGTAATCAACCATGTGTGTAGCATGCTTTTTTCTGTCGGTGCACGGCATTTTCCATGTCTGACGGCAACGGATATCCGATCGTCCTCACGCGAAGGTAACTATCGATTTGAAGGAAACTTGGCACCCTACTCAACACGATCCAAACCATTCGATCGTAGTAACACGTTTTATTTGATTATCAACCGTACCGAAACTGATTGACCTCACCGAGAAGGTTAATCTCTATATGCAAATCAAATAACACAAGCAAGAAAAAAAAACAACAATTCAATTGCAGATGAATGATTAATCAAGAACTCGAAGTTGAGACTCCACAAACCAATGAATAGAGGAAACTGCAATGACAGAAATAATCTAAACAAAACTTAACCCTAACTCAGCGATGGTTACTAAATATATAGGTTCTAGGGTCGACCTTGGATTCTAGACACTCCCTATTTAGACTTCGACACGATAAACGATCCAAAAACGGTGACGCAACATCCACATATATAGAATCTGAATGTTTTCTTGTCTCAACGATTCCCGTTGACTTGAAAGAAATTTTAACGTGGGACTAGATCCATTGAAAAGGTGGTCTTGTTAGCTTTTTATGCATACGTAGAATGTTGAAATTGGAGTCCGAATACAATATGGGAGACGATTTTAGTGCGTACTACTTCTGGAGTTCGATGTGGATTCGAACCTGATATGAGTTGGGCCTTCATCTTAGTTTGAACGTCCTTGACCACCTTGTCCATATCTCTTCATAGTTTCTAGTCATAATTAAATCATTAGGTGCAATCTATTCTTAAAATCACATAAATAAGTGCTTAGGAATGAGCTCAGCTATAAATTAAATTTTCGGACGCAAACTCTAGTGATTGGAACTTACAAATCAACTTGAGGAGTATTGTTTGTATTTAAATGAGTGATTACCTTATCAGTTGAGATGAAAATCAACTTCAGGAGTATATACATGCGAACCGCTGTTCTTCATAGATGAGAAGCAAAATCCACGTGTTAGATTCATGCCAAGTACTTGTTAATTCGGATTCGATCCCGTGTGTAAAAGATTGATTTGCAGTTTTGCACGGCTAAATCCCTTGTTAAATTCATGCTCCATACAAACTATGACTTTGATGGGGGAAGGTGAATGTCGGTACGTTTGACGCAATAAATATTTGTATGGTAAATTGCACTATTGCAGTCTTGCAGAGGAGTGCCCTGTTGTAGAAAAGGAGAGGAAAAATCCAGCTTCAGCGAGGAGCTACCTCTCACTATGGTTGTAGGACTGTAGCTGTTCACTCAAACTAGCAAAAGACACATTTACACATGCCTACACACATGACATGAATCCGTTTAACTCTTGGAGCTACACATTTGTCCACATGTATGATCTCCAGAATCCATCATTCACCCTGAAAAGCCTACCTCTTTCTGCCCTTTAAATCCCCTGCATACAAATCTGCAAGCAGTCTGCAACTCATTCCAGTCTTCGCAACATCGAGCAAACAACACAAAAGGTCCTCCAGTTATACCGGTAAGCACATGATTTCAGCTGCTGATTGATCAGAGCCACTTCAATTCCCTACTTTCCTTGCCCCTGCAATAGACATTCCCATGATGCAAAAACACTTCTTCTTCACACATACTAGTGGTAGTAGCCAAGCCAGGCTCTCTGCAAACGGAGCTAGCCTGGTCAGCTTTGGCTGCATGGGTGAAAACTGAAAAAGGGGCTGGTAGTAGCAGCACCGGCAAGGCAAAAACCTCGCATTGATAAGTTGGAGAAGCAGCCATCCTTTTGCTCTTTTTGACCACCAGGAATCTATCCATCTAACCACGCTAGCTTTTAACCTCCCCATCTGTTTGTGATCCACCTTGAGCTGCTCTCACTGCTTCAGAGGATGGCATTCATTCATGCATTCCCTGATCCGTTCCTCATTCAATTCATTGTGCTGCTCACATGCATGTTCATATAGTACTTGTATATAGCAGCAATGCATTCATGTCATGTATCTTCGCTTGCTTTCTTTTTCTTCAATGGATGGGTGTGAGTGTGTCTATCTAATGCATGGGGTGTGGGCAGCTTTAGCTTTGCAGGCAGGCAGCCGG